TTGGTAATGGAATCGAACTCAGGACCTTGCGCTTGGGAGGCAGGTGGCAGCACCAAAAAAACCAGCATTCTCACCCTGCGGATTTAGCTCAGTGGGTCCACCATCTGCCTCGCAAGCACAATCCCCAGTACAAAAAAAAAAAAAAAACCACAACAAAACCCAGCATTCTTAGTATAGAAGAAATGAGTTTAAGGAGAACAGAGAAAAGAGATTAAGCAAAAACTCGTTAATCTTGGATTTGGTTTGTTTGGCTTTTTTGTAGCGCTGAGGATTAAACCCAGGGCCTTATGCATGCTAATAATCTTGAACTTGAATTCTCATTGAAAGTATCAGTATGTCCCGATGAGATGAGGTGTTTTCTCATATGTAGGATGTATATGTACATGCACATAGTGCAGGCACACACACAGTCATCTAGCTTTGTCTACTAAGGAGGCCTGGCTGTGATACTGAAATATAATTTATCATTTGTAAGACCCAAAGCTTCTTAGAGAAGTGGCTGACTCAAGTCTGTGTACAAGATGAAGCACAAATATTTTGTTATAACAAATGGCAAGGACAGCTACTCAGGATGACAAGGAAGGTCAAAAGGACCCAAGGGTCGACCTAAAGAAACTCCATTAGATATAGCTGGGGCATCAGACCTTTAACAATGATAATTTGGGGCCAGGGATTTAGCTCAGTGGTTCTGCCGCCTGCCTTGCAAGCGCGAGGACCCGAGTTCGATCCCCAGTACCAAAAAAAAAAAAAAAAAATGATAATTTGGTGTGACTAAAATCTTCCACATGTACATAAACTCATAAATTCATGAGTTTTTAAAAAAATGTTCACCTTTGGAAGATGATGGAGATTCATTATCCTGAACACTGGTGGAAAAGAATGAATCAAGCATTTACTCTGACTCTTTTGTGAACTAGACCACTTAGAAATCAAAAAGTCAATGAGAGAAAAGTGCTTTTTTTTGATACTGAGGGTTGGACCCAGGGCCTTTACACTGAGCTACATTCCTGGCCCTTTTCTAGTTTTTATTTTTTGCTTGTTTGTTATTTATTTGTTTTATTGAGACACGATCTTGCTATGTAGTTCAGGCTGGCCTTGAACTCACTATGTAGCCCACGCTGGCCTCGAACTTCCAGCAGTCCTCCTGCCTCAGTCTCCCAGAGTGCTTGGATTACAGGCATGAGCCACCATGCCTACCCAGGTTTTATTTTATTTTTTTTATTATTTTTTAAAAAAATTATTTTTGGGCTGGGGATTTAGCTCAGTGGCTCCGCCTCCTGCCTTGCAAGCACAAGGACCCGAGTTCGATCCCCAGTACCCCCCCCCAAAAAAAGAGCAGCAAAAAAAATTATTTTTTCTGGTACCAGGGATCAAACTCAGGACCTTGCACTTTTGAGGCAGGCACTGTACCACTGAGCTAAATCCCTGGCCCTTTAGTTTTTGAGACAAGATTTTGATAAATTGATGATATGCTCAGACTGGGCTGGAAATTCTGATCCTCCTGCCTCAACTTCCGAGAGAGTTGGAATTACAGGCATGTACCTCCATAACCAGCTGGAAATTTCTCTTCATAGAAGTATATTAACTTATCAATAAAATGAAGTTCTAGACCAAGGATGTAGTTCAATGGTAGAGTACTTGTTTAGCATGCATGAGGCCCTGGGTTCAATCCCCAGTACTACCAAAAAAAAAAAAAGTTGTACTAGAATTAAGCACACCAATTTGTAATCCCCAATAGATTAACAGATAACAGGACTGGGAATTTAGCTTAGTAGCACTGCGCCTGCCTTGTAAACGCAAGGTCCCGAGTTTGATCCCTGGCACCAAAAAAAAAAAAAAATTAACAGATACAAGCCATAAGCATTAACCTTTGAAAAAAACTCACAATCACAGACCCAACTAGATTCACATGCCTCTTACAGTCTTCCCAAAGTGATCAACTGTAAGTGTAATCCAGCCTCTGGATCCAGCTACCAATTTGCAGGAAACAGTGAGGAAACAGGAACATTTAGAACTGTGTCATGCACACAGCCCTGTATTCAATCCTGAGCACGGAACAGCAAAACAAAACAAAAAACCATGCATCATGAATATGTAATCAGCAAAATCCAGTCTATGGTAAACTCTGTAAAGTTCTAGAATCTTCAACAAATTAATTGTAAGCAATTAAGGATGAAAGAGGAACATTACATATTAAGAGACTTAAACATAACAATTGCTTTTTTTTTTGGTACCAGGGATCCAACTCCGGGCCTTGTGCTTGCAAGGCAGGCACCAGAACAACTGAGCTAAATCTCTGGCCCACAATTGCTTTGAAATGGATAAGACTAAAAACTATAGCGTCTAGGAGGCAAAATTGATAATACTATAAAAAACATAGAAAAGGGCCGGGGATTTAGCTCAGTGGTCTGCCTCACAAGGGCAAGATCCCAAGTTCAATCCCCGGTACCAAAAAAAAAAAGTGAACACTGTAACATCAGGCAATGGTTACTTGTGGGCGGAAATGGAACTATAATTGAGATGGAGCCTGTGGACAGGACTTCTGTGTGGGTTACTGTTCTTGGCATAATCAACTCTGCTGGTTACAAGAATGTTTGCAGGAGCCGTGCATGGTGGCGCTCCCCTGTAATTCCAGCACTCAGGAAGCTGAGGCAGAGAGATTGTCATGAATTTGAGGCCAGCCTGGGCTGCATAGTGAATTCAAGGCCAGCCTGAACTACATAAGGATACCCTGTCTCAAAAAACAAACAAAAAGGAATGCTTGCAGGAGCTTGCAGGAGCTGGCTGAGCCCAACCTGGGCAATTTAGCCATGTAGCCAGATCCTGATTTAAAAAAAAAAAAAAGCTTGAGATGTAGCTCAGTCCCAAGGCCCGGAGTTCAATTCCCTGTACTAATCCCCACTTGAGAAAGGTTTGTCTCAGAATAATTCATTAAGCCTTACCTTTGTTTTGTATGTTTTCTACATTTGTGCTTTACTCTATACTGAACATTTGTTAAGAGGAATTTTTTTTTTTTTTTGGTACCAGGGATCAAACTCGAGTCCTTGCACTTTCGAAGCAGGTGCCAGAACCACTGAGCTAAATCCCCGGCCCTAGAGGAAATGTTATGAACTACTTTCTGTAATAAATTCAACAACTTAGAAGAAATGGACAGATTATTTGAAAACACACCCTACCAAAGCTAAAAATGAAATTAAAAGAGTAAATACTGAAAGACTTCAACAGCTGCCATTCTAGGCTATAGTTGTTACCAAAGAGATATGTCATCAAAAACATCCCCATAAAACCAGGCTTGGTGGCTCACGACTGTAATCTCAGCACTCTGGAGGTGAGGCAATACGATCACCAAGCATTCAAGACCAGCCTGACCTGGTATCAAAAAACAAAAACAGGGCTGGGGGATTTAGCTCAGTGGCACCGTGCCTGCCTCACAAGCGCAAGGTCCTGAGTTGGATCCTGGGTACCAAAACAAAAAACCAAAAAATCCTCATAAAGAAAATCTAGGCCAGATGATTATTAATTATATCAAATACTTAATAATACAACTGCTGTCAAGTATGGTGGTGCATGCCTGTAATCCCAGCACTCAGGAGGCCGAGTCCTGAAGATCATGTCAGTTCAAAGCCAGCCTGAACTACACAGTGAGGCCCTGTCTCAAAACACCAAAAATAAAACAAAACAACACAACAACAACAAAACTATGGTCACACTAAGTCACTAAATTGGACTGGAGCTTGTGATCCTCCTGCCTCAGCTTCTCAGAGTGCTTATTACAGGCATATGCCATCATGACCAGTTTAAAACTTTTTTTTAATAACAAGGTTATCATTGGACCAGGGATTTAGCTCAGTGGTTCCGGCGCCTGCCTCAAAAGTGCAAGGTCCCAAGTTTGATCCCCGGCACCAAAAAAACAAAAACAAAACAAAAAGGTTATCAGAAAATTAGAGCCAGAGATTTAGCTCAGTGGCACTGCACCTGCCTTGCAAGCACAAGGTCCGGAATTTGATCCCCGGTACCACAAAAAAGAAAGAGAGAGAGAGAGAGAGAGAGAGGGAATTAAACATTAACTATATTTCATTACACAGTACTGAGAAACTGTTGAATTTTGGGGTGCAATAATGGTAATGAAAGTTCTTATCTTTTAGAGATACATACAAAAACATTTGCAGATGAATTGGTGTATCTGGTGGTTTTGCTTCAAAGTGATCTTTGCTAGAAAAGAAACCAAGATTGGCCATGAATTGATAATTACAGAAACTAGGTGATAGGTGCATGAGAATTCACTACTCTAGTTTTCTCTAAATTTTTTATGCTTGATATTTTATTTTATTTCATTTTATTTATTTTTGTGATGATGGAGGTCAAATCCAGGGCCCCATGCCTGGTAGGGAAGCAGTCTGAGTTACATCACCAGCCCCATGCTTGATATTTTATATAAAACAAAAAATAACTACAATGATTAAAACATTAAATATGTAAGACCTATAGGTTCATAACAGTAATTTTATTTTTATTTATTTATTTAGGTACCATAGATTGAACTCAGGATCTTGTGCTTGCTTCTGAGCCAGGTGAAAGCACCACTGAGCTACATCCCTGGCCATCATAACAGTAATTTTATCTTATTTTATTTTATTTATTTATTTAGGGACCGGGAATTGAACTCAGGACCTTGTGCTTGCAAGGCAGGCAGTGAAACCACTGAGCTAAATCCCCGGCCCAATAATTTTAAAAGAGAGTGAAATAGCCAGATGTGATGGTGCACGTCTATGATCCCAGTGCTGAGGAGGCTGAGGCAGGATTGCCCTTAGCAGCAGGGAACTTTACAAGGCCAGTTTGGGCTACATAGTGAGTTGAAGGCCTGCCTGAGATAGTGAGAGCCTATCTCAAAAAAAAAAAAAAAAGAAAAGAAAAGAAAAAAAAAATCATTGAACACCATTAATAGCTGAGACACCAACTCACTACTTGGAAAATGGTAAGTAAGGGAAGAGACTTAAACATTTCTGGTATCAGCTTTATTTCAGGGTCACCAAATGGTCCTAGAGGAGGTGAAAAAAGTTTTTCTGGACAGAATTAGAGCTCATAATGAAGAAATAATAGTATTAGAAAGTCACAGTTTGATAATTCCTAGCAGAGTGACCAACTAATAAAATGGTCAGTGGACAGTGAAACAGGCAGCAGAGGAGGCAGGGACTGGAGAGTCCTCTGACTGAGGAGGTGGGGGAGGGCTGTCGGGCCAGGAGCACCTGTGCTGTTAAGAATTAAGTGAAAAATAAATCTTTATTTGGTTAAATCACTGAACTATGGGAGCAATTCATTGTAGAAGGTAGTTTACTGTCAAAGCATACCATTGATATAGAAGCACAGAATTACATATAAAGGTACATACACATCCAAACACACAGTACCGACACATTTGAGAGTAAACCTATGGCAGGGAGAGGTATGAGAATAGGGAAGGCAAGAAAACAAGAATGGTGTCTAGGAGCAATTGGTGATGAGATAATTCACCATGCACAGAGGGGCAGGGTTTCACTAAGGAATGTGTGCAAAGCCCTGAACACCACAAAAACAAACAAAACCCCCCAACACAGCAAAAGCATTAAGGAGTAAAAATCATTGAAAAATAGACAACTAAAACACCTAATCTAGAGCCCTTGGCCACTTAACTGGGAGTGTAATTTTCTCCTGCCTGTAAAACAACACAGAATGGCTCTGAGAGCAGACAGGGTTGAGGACAGAGCCTGCCCGAGTGGTTCTCTTTGGTCACCAGGAAGGTCACAGGCCTATGAAGGTCCTTAAACCGTGTCTGATGTTGATGGTGCAGGAGCACTTGCTCTTCTCCCCTTGGTGCCACCCCTCGCTCCAGGCTGAGAGGGGGGATGAAGCACAGGGGTGTGTTCTGGGCCATCCTGCATCCTAGTCTGTGGCTGGCTGGGTTTCCCCCAAAGATGTGCTCTGCCTAGTGCCCAGGACCTATGAATACGTAGTTTAAGTGGCAAAAAAGGTCTTTAAGATGTGATTAAAATAAAGACCTTGAGATAGGGAGATGATCCTGGATTATCCCAGTGGGCCCAATGTCATCCCAAGGATATGAACTCACAATGTAATCCTTAGAAGAGGGGGACAGCAGAATTAGGGAGAGGGATGTAGGGATGGAAGCAGACGTCAGATAGATGAGAAGATAACATGCAGCCAACCTTGGAGACAGAGGAAGGATTCCGAGTGGGGTGACAGACACCCGTAATCACAGTGCTCTGGGAGGCTGAAGCTTGAGGATCCCAAGTTTGAGGCCAGCCTGGGCAATTTAGTGACTTAGTGAGATCCTGTCTAAAAATGTTACAAAAAAAAAAAAGGGGGCCAGGGACGTTGCTCAGTACAAAGGGCCTGGGTCCAATTCCTAGTGCTGAGGGGAAAAAAGATGCAGGAGGCAGGAACCAAGAATGCAAGCAGGCTCTAGAAGGTGGAAAGACAAACAGATTTTCCCTGCAATCTCCCGAAGGGACAAAGACTATCAACAATTCCACTTCAGCCCAGGGAAGCTCATTTCATGCTTCTGACCTCCAAAGCTATAATACATGTGGTTTGCAAGCCACTAAATTTGTGGTAACTTGTTACAGCAGCAATAAGAAATTACCAGACTGCCTCTGCTCCCAGGTAGCACTAACTTACTGTTTTAAGTGAATAAGGTATGTGTGAGTATGAAGGGTGTGCCAGGGAATTAGAGATGACTTCCTAGAAGTCACTGCAATCATACTGACCCCAGTTCATAGTATGGCTCATCTGTTACCTGACCTTGAGCAAATTTTCTAAGCAACAACACATTGTCAACAATGTACTATATATAGGGTTGTTAAGAATTAAATAGACTGTTTTAAATTACCGAGTGTGTAAACACCAATTGGTGTTTTTTGTAAGTCACATTTCCTTGTGGGTTTCTACACTGTCACTGAACAGGTGCAACTGAATGCCCAGTGTGTGGCTGGCACCGTGTACCCAATGGCCTTGTGTTCATGACAACCCCAGTTGTCCCAAGTGCAGGTCCTTAGCCCTGCCCACGCGCCGGCTCTCATGGGCCCTGGACGGACCGTGTATCCTCCCAGGGGGTGTTTTTGTAGCTGTCATGAGCAGCCTCATCTCTGCCTTTACCCTGTACCCTAATAAAAGCCCCCCACACACGTGGAGAGCAGGTGTGCACTTTCAGCACCCGTTTTCATCTTTCTTGCTTCTCTTTCTCTCACCCTTTTTCTCCCTTCTCTGAGCTCCCCAGCAGCCCCCCCTGTAATGCAGAAAAGTCAAACCTAACAAGACAGCTGAGCCTCAACCAGCCAGTCCACAGGCAGGTAGCAGGGACTGAGACTGCATGTTTTGGGCTTCCTAGGCTTCTCTGGTAGGGAGCTGGAGTCAAAGGTATGAAGACCCAGAATCCCCAGGAAGCCTCACTTGGCCCAGCTCTCCAGCCCCTCAGCGCTCTCCAGTGCCTACCCACTCAGCCTGCGATCCCTGGCTGTGGTGCACCCCTTCCTCTACAAGACCTGCTGCTTTTCCTAGTATGACTGGTCCCCATCCCACCCTGCTTCTAGTCTCCAGGTCTGAAACAGTGAGTTTTGTCCCCTTGATGTTGGAACCTGTTATCCCCTCCCATCTCAAATAAAATAAAATAAAATAAAATAAAATAAAATAAAATAAAATAAAATAAAATAAAATGGTTGGCCCAGGATTGATTTTTCTCCTATCTGATGCTCACACTGGTGGGCCCTTCACCGTCTCTGGCCCAGAGTTCTCTCTCAGAGCCTGTTGCTCTTTCTCTAAGACTGGGCTGTCTCTTTAGGGTGGGAAATTATAGAGCCAAAGGTTGTAATGGGGAAAAGTGTTTCCAGTCTGTTTGGGCTTTGGGGACATTGACTGAAAGGTGTGGCCAAGTGACAGCGCTGTGGGCATGCAGGCAAACAATCTGGGCTTTGCCACAGTTTTACAATGGGTGACACTAGCTTGTGTACTGGTGACCTCCGCTGGTCTTCGGAAAGATTAAACTATTTTCCTTGAGCTTGGAGGGTCTACTCAGCATTCACAGCAATGGCGCATAATGGACACAAGGGGGCAGGCAACCTCTTCGCCCAGAAATGGGTGGAGTAGATGAAGCCTCCTTAAGAAATACAATGGCTTCCAAGGGGAAGGGTAATTCCCAAGGGCACACTGCAAAATGGTTACAGAGTAGGGATTGGGGATTGGAATTAGGTACAGTTTATGTTTGTTTGTTTGTTTTTGTTTTTTTGTACCGGGGATCGAACTCAGGACCTTGCACTTACAAGGCAGGTGCGATGCCACTGAGCTAAATCCCCAGCCCAGGTATATTCTTTTAATTTCTAGTCTGAGGGGAAGTCAGGAGCCCCAGGAAACGGTAAGGACAGGGATGGTAGACAGTAAAGAAGGTACTGAGAGGTTACTTTGCAGATTTAAAACACTCGGAGGGGATGGCAAGAGGCAAGCAGGGGTTCTTTACCGGGAGAACCATGGAAGGAATGTATTGCTTCAGAAGGAATGGGGTGGAAGTTGCCATACAGCACTTGAGGAAGTAGCATTAGGGAAGGTAGAAATGATCAACCTGGCCTCTCTCCCTTCCACAACATTAAATACAAAGTAAAAAAAATGCCTGGGCTGGGGATTTAGCTCAGTGGTTCCGTCACCTGCCTCGAAAGTGCAAGGTCCCAAGTTCAATCCCCAGTACCCAAAACAAAACAAAATGAAACAAATGCCAGTTATTCTAGGGTTTGGGGAAGACTGTTCTAATTTAGCACACTGAACAACCAAAGATCATCCTTATTCCCCCCCTTTTTCCCCTCTAGTAATCTAGTTTTAGAGCCCAGGAAAGACAGGGGCCAACAAAAATAGGGACGATTACCTGGGGTTCAGAAGGTTAATTTTGAAGAATTCATTCTGACATCAGCCATAGCCCAAGTAATCTACTATCTGGGATTGTCCCCTCCCTAGCCCCAGGTTGGCAGTTTCCCTGAATTCTTTCTTTGGTGTAATTAGCTAGGACCTTGGGACTTGGACCCAGAGGTGGTCCCCTGCTCCCTTCTTAGGTCCCAGGAGTCAAGGGCCAGCTGTAAGAGAGAGAGCAAGGAAGGAATTTCCCTTGCCCGTCCCTTTGGGTGGGCCCCAGGGACCAAAGAGCCTCTGTCTTTTCCACCCACACCCCCACACTGTAGCCCAGACAAGGGGGTTCCTTGTTGTCCCAACCTCAGGCAGGCGTCCTTGTGACCAAATGGTGGAAAGCTGGACAGGGTGGGGGAAGGGTAATCACAGACTCAGAGAAGATAACACCTCCCCAGCATCCAAGATTCTGGAATAATCTCAGAAACCCTCAAGTTTCTCCCTCTCCAGCTCCCATCTGCAGTGTGGTGAGACCAGGACTCATCTGCATATAAAAGGACTGAAGTCAGAAGAGGAAACTGAGAAGTTACAGAGGCACAGAAATAGAGCAGGAGGTATGAAGTCAGAAAACAGCAAAGGGGCAGGCCAGGAATAAGGTGAAACAGGGGTCTGTGGCAGAGTGGGCAAGCAAACTTGAGAGCTCCCTAAAAGAACAGAGATAAGAGTACTGGTACCAGAGAGGGATGCAGCCACAGAGGAAATGAGACCCCCCAGGATGAAATGAGAACATCCTGTCTGAAAAGCAGCATACATATCTTCCAAAGAAAATCTTTCCTGTCAGTAGGGGTGACATGTTCCCACTCAAAAGAAGTAATGGTATAGACATTAAGTAATTGGTCTCACTTAGGAGCAGGGGCTCAGACATCCTGATCACATATCATCCAAGGATTGGTACAGAATGGCTGGTCCATCCTGGTAGGAAATGTTATTATTACTCAACAGATAGGAAGGGGTGGATCTACCAACTCCAAAGGCTTCTGGGAGAACAAATCCATGGAGGGTTGAATGTTCATGTCCCTCAACTCTCTATCTTGGCCAAGAGAAGACAAAGCTCCTAGACTTTGGTGGAGGTAATTACACCCCTACCATTTCATCAATGATCTCCTTTGGGTCTAAAATCCTAACATAGCGAAAAGAAGATGGAGACATCCCCCCCCCCCGCCCCCGCACAAAGAGCCACAGCCCAAGCATCTAAAGTCAGCATCTCTATGGAAGGAGCTCTAGGGACCGAATAATTGAGGGATAAAGATGGAGACTCTCCAGGGACCAGAGGAATGGTGTGCCAGGTTTCCATGGTAATGGATTTCAGTGTAGCCTATTCCTAGTCCCAGATTTGAGGGAGAACAAATTTTTTTTTTTTTTTTTGGTACCGGGGATCGAACTTGGGACCTTACGCTTGCGAGGCAGGCAGTGGAACCACTGAGCTAAATCCCCAGCCCGAGGGAGAACAAATTTTGAGAGACCAGGTCTAAGGATGAAAGTGCCACAGGAATACAAAAGGGTGCAAAAGTTGTTACAAGAAGGTCACATCATCCTGACACTGTCCCCAGTACCAGTGAGCCTCAAAGCCTAGCGTGGCACTCTCATCCTCTGGTGGCTCGGGTGGTCCACCTTGCAGCCCCTCTCCCAGGGGCTTCCACAAAGCCCTCAAGCTCTCTAGCCCGGTGGCTGTCAGATCCACATCAGTCCTGGCCCTCTCCTCACCAGGTATAACCTTTGCCCAATCCATCTCGGGACAGGGAGCCCCAGCGGGTCCCTGTTCATCTGGCTCTCTGGGGGCCACGGTGTCCAAGAAGCTGCCAATAGAGACACTGTCCAGTCGGTCAGTGGAGCTGGTATCTGGCAGGCTGTCCCAGCTGCCCCGCCTTGAGCGGCCCGGGCTCCCGCCTGTCAGGCTATATTGGCTGCTGGTGAGGCTACTGCAGTGGCTGGTCAACGTTCCCCGCTCCTCCAGCAGCCAGCGCACTGCCTCGATGCCCTCATTCAAGGTCACCAGCTGCTGCAGGATCTTCACGTCGATGGCTCGCAGGGAAGCCTGGGGGAGTGGAAGAAGGAATTAGTCCCAGGTTCTGGGCTCTGGGTTTCCCTGGAGTTTCCAGAGACCCCTACCTTGTGATCCAACCAACCATGCTTCACTTTCAAGAAGCATGGAAACAGGATGATTCAGAGAGTGGGCTTTGGAAGCAAGCAGAGTGCTATTTAAGATTTCAGCTTGGATTGGAGATGTAGCTGAGTGGTAGCCTGCCTGCCTAGCACACATGAGGCCCTGAGTTCAATACTCAGTACCAAAAATAACCAAAACCAAAACCAAACCACAAAAAAATTCTACCACTGATGAGCTAGAAGACTGTGGGCAGCTATCTTATCTTCTTTGAGCTCCAGTTTGTAAAACAGGGATGATGACTCACCTCACAAGGTGGCTGTGAAGATTCTGAACTGCTATTAAGTACTCAGCACAGTGCCTCGTAGAGTAAGGTCTTAATAAATGTTAAGTATTAAAATCCATTCCCAGCTATCCACTTCTTCACGATGGTCACCCTAGGCTGTAGGATGCATGGTTTGTTTTTGTTTTTTTTCTCCCTCCCTTTTTCTTTGGCCAAAAAAATTCACTCTGCAGTTTGTTGTTCCCCTACCCTTGTGTTTTTTCCTACCTTTAATAAATGTGAAACTTTGCCACTGTAAATTAATTAATTGACCCAATCTAATCCGACTGGGCTTTGGGGTATTGACTATTGAACTGGTCCAGATTCACCAATAAAGCTTTGAAAGAGCCAAAGAATAACCTGCTAGGGTTGTTAATGTACTTGGGAAGTGCACTGGGCCAAATGGAGGTGGACACTGAGGAATAAAGAGGGAGAAAACCTGGTTTCCTAGTCCTTTCAGGGTACCCAAAGCAAGACAAGGCAAGAAGGGCTGGCCAGAGCAAAGAAGGGTCCGAACCCCACTGTGTCCGCTTCCCTCCACTGCACACTGTCTGTCCGAACTGGAAGGAAGTTAGATTTACTGGGTAATCTCTAGGGTCCCTCCTGACTCAGATGCACTGTTACCTTCCCCAAGTGCGAGTCTGAACTTGTCCCTCCTCTGCTCAAGAGGGATTGAGTTGCTTTGTGCTGCTTTTAGAGAATGAAGTTGAAACACTTTAGCAGCTGGCATTCAAAATCCTATCATAATACGGCCCTGCCCATCACTCCAGCTTCACTGCTAGCATACTTTTCTGTGAACCCAAGGTTCTGCCACAGCATAACTTTCAAAATTTAGTTTCGGGTCAAGGCTTTAGCTCAGTGATGCTGCCTGCCTGCCTCACAAGCGCAAGGTCCTGAGTTCGATCCCCAGTACCAAAATAAAAAAAATTTAGTTTCACCTTTAATCAAATTAATAGGTGCATATAAAGAGGGTGCATTTCACAAGATTTCTAACAGTTCCTCCATCCTAATCCTAAACCCAACTCCACAAAGGAAACTATTAGTTTTTCTATTGTTGTTGTGTTTTGTAGAACTTGCAGTTGAATCCCGAGCTACATCTCCAGGCCTTTTTTACTTTTAATTTTGATTTTTTTGTTGTTGTTGTTACAGGGGATCGAACTCAGGTCCTTGTGATTGGAAGGCAGGCGGCAGAACCACTGAGCTAAATCCCCGGCCCCTACTTTTAATTTTGAGACAGAGTTTCTCTAAATTGCCCAGGCTGGCCAGGGATGGCAGCACACAACTGTAATCCCAGCACTTGGGAGGCTGATGCAGGAGGATTGCCTTGAGTTCAAGGCCAGCCTGAGCCACATGGTCAGTTTAAGGCCAGTTTGAACTACATAGCAAGACCTTGTTTCAAAAAATTAAATTAAATTTTTAAAAATAGGGCCAGGGATTTAGCTCAGTGGTTCCACTCCCTGCCTCACAACCAAAAGGTCACAAGTTTGAGCCCCAGCACCCCCCCCCAAAAAATTGTAATCTTCCTGCCTCAGCCTGGCAGAATGCTGGAACTTCAGGTATATACCATCATACCTGGCTAGGTTTTGTTTTTTATTTTTTTATTTTTTTTTGGTACCGGGGATCGAACTCGGGACCTTGCGCTTTTGAGGCAGGCGCTGGAACCACTGAGCTAAATCCCCAGCCCAGGTTTTGTTTTTTAACTTGTTTTTGTTTTTATTGTTTTACTTCCTTTGAGATAAAGTCTATGTAACCCAGGGTATCCTTGAACTTCTGGGATCAAGTGATCCTCTTGCCTCAGCCTCCAGAGTAGTAGCTGGGACTACAGGTGAATGACAGTGCACCTTGCTCTGCTATTATTATTTTTTCCATTAATTTATTGGTACATTTTAGGTATGTAATATAGTTACATTCATCATTGGGATCTTGTACTTTTACATGATGCATGATGTATCTTGGTTCTTATTTTTTCCCCATTCCCCTGCCCTCCATTCACCCCCTCCACCCTTCCCTATTTACAAAGATTTTATTTCCATTTTTTCCTTTTCTTGCTCTGCTATTATTGCTTTAGCTGGTTATTTTGGCATTTGCCTCCTAGCCTCAAAGTAACATGTATATTGCAGCTTCTTGCTTTTTTTCCCCCTTACATTTTAGATATACATAAAGATAACATTCATCATAGGGAATTTGTACCTGTACATGATATATCTTCCTCCTTTTTTTCCCATTCCCTTCCCCTCCCTTCAGCCCTTCTTCTCATTTACAAAAGCTTTGTTTCCATTTTTTTCTGTCTATTCTTTTTCTTGTCTCTTCTTTCCTTTCCCTCTCCCTCCTCCCTTGTTCCCCTTCTCATTTGAACATTTTCTTTCCATTTCCCAATAGCTATTGTACATTTTGGTCCTTATTTACACTTTCAGTATCTCGTACCAGAGAAACAATGCAGAATTTAAACATGTATGTCTGATTTATTTCACTTAAGAGTATGATCTCAAGGTCCATCCATTTAGCTATAAATGTCTGAAGTGTATCCTTCTTTATGGCAGAGTAGTGCTCCATTGAAAAAAAAACAAACCACATCTTCTTTATCCATTCATTGGTTGATCGGCATTTGGGTGGTTTCCAAGATTTAGCTATTACAAACTGTGCTGCTATAAACATGGGTGTGCATATATCACTGTAGTATGATGTTTTAAATTCTTTAGGGAAGATACTGAGGAGAATAGCTGGGTCGAATGGAACCTCTAGTTTTAGTTTTGTCACTTTTTTTTTTTTTTTTTGTACCGGAAATTGAACTCGGGACCTTGCGCCTGTATGGCAGGCGGCAGAACCACTGAGCTAAATCCCTGGCCCTAGTTTTAGCTTTTTGAGGAATCTCCACACTGATTTCCACAGTGGTTGCACCAGTCTACACTCCCACCAACAGTGGAGAAGGGTTCCTTTTCTCTTCCAGCCCCTCCAGTGTTTGTTATTGGTTGATTTGTTAGCAGCCCTTCTTTCTGGAATGAGATGGAATCTCAAGGTTGTTTTAACTTGCATCTCTCGAATGACCAGTGATGTTGAACATTTTTCCATATATTTATTTGCCATTTCTATTTCATCTGAGAAGTGTCATTCATTTCAGATGCCCATTTTTGGACTGGGTCTTTATATTTGGGAGGGGTTCTGATTTTTTTTTTTTTTAAGATCTTTATATATTCCAGATATTAGTCCTTTGTCTGAGGAACAGCTGGCAAAATTTTTTTCCCCACTCTGTGGGTTATCTCTTCACTCCGTTGGTGATTTCTTTTACTGTGCAAAAGCTTTTTTAGGGCCGGGGATTTAGCTCAGTGGTTTTGACGCCTGCTGTGCAAGCACAAGGACCCGAGTTCGATCTCCGGTACCAAAAAAAGCACAAGGCCCTGAGTTCCATCCCCGGTACCACAAAAACAAAAAACAACAAAAAAAAACAACACAAAAAAACCCCCCACAAACTTTTTTATTTTGTTTTTGGGGGTTTTTGGTCCTGGGGATCAAACTTGGGACCTTGCGCTTGCAAGGCAGGCACCTGAACCACTGAGCTAAAGCCCTGGCCCCCAAAACTTTTTTAATAAGATGAGATCCCAGTTGTTGATTCTTTGTGATACTTCCTGTGTGATTAGGGTTTTGTCATAAAGTCCTTGCCTATACCAATGTCCTCAAGCGTTCTAACTATTCTATCTGATACGCAGATTTAGTGTTTCTGGTTTTGTTTTGTTTTTCTTTTGTACTGGGGATCGAACTTGGGACCTTCCGCTTGAGAGGTAGGCAGTGGAACCACTGAGCTAAATCCCCGGCCTAGTGTTTCTGTTTTAATATTTAGATCTTTGATCCATTTCAATTTTAGTTTAGTGCCTGGTAAAAGATATGGGTCTAGTGTTAATCTTTGGCATGTAGAAAGCCAGTTTTTCCAGCACAATTTATAAAAGAGACTGTCTTTCTTCCAGCTCCTTTCTTTTTAAATTTTAGGCATCTTTCCTTTTTCTTTTCTTTTCCTTTGTGTGTATGTATGCATGTGTGTGTATGTGTGTGGTAGTGGGGACTGAACCCAAGGCTTTTGCACTGAGCTACATCCTCATCCCTTTTTTGTTTTTTATTTTGAGACAGGGTTTTGAGAAATTGCTAAATTGACCAATTGCCCAGGCTGGGCTTGAACTTTCAATCCTCAGCCTCCCAGAGTGTTGGGATTACAGGCATGTCCCACCATACTAGGCAAGGTTTAGGCATTTTCTTATTGACTTCCCACACTACAGGAGATTAAGGACTTAACTTTCACCCATTCCCCTCTTCCTGCCATATAGACACACTTCCCTCTCCCCTCCTCCCAATAGGCAATACAATTACTGAGTGTTTGCCTTATTAGAATTTGGAAAAGCTACTCACAACCTAGTAATGTTTTATATATATATATATATGTATGTATATATATGTATATATTATATATAATGTTATATGTAGGTATATATATGTATATATATTTTTTCAACTTTGTTTTCTTTAGTAGTATTATTCTGCTTAGTTCACTATATAGTTATCAGTAAGTCATTCCCCAACCCCTTTCCCCAACTATTTAAATTTCCCTCTCAAGGCTTTCTTTTTT